AAGTACAACCTCTGACAAAGAATGACTGCCGACGACAGAGAATAAAAACGAGATTTAAAAAAAAAAGAACGAAGCGAGAAAAAATGAACATTAGACAAGGCTCGGATCTGCGGTCTTGGTGTTTGTATTAAAATCCTCACAGTCCATTACTCACGTGAAGTAGTGACGTCAGATGGGTAGTAGTACACGCGTGGCGCTGCCGCCGCCAACAATATGGCTTGGTGCCATCTCTACGGTAGGGATACATGCCAACAATATTCTAGTCCCCGAAGACACGTGTCTTCTCTAACAGAAATGCTTTCAATTGGACTGCACTGACATTACCGATGCCATTACTGGTGCGGTGGCAGAAAAACGCTTCCGCTCTTCTTTTCTTTCTTCTAGCGTTTTCTTTTTCCGTTCATTCTTCTCTTAACATAGCCCGTCATTAGAGAACAGAGGGGGTCTATTGATCGCAATCAACCGCTTCAAACCCATTTTCTCGGCAAGCCACACAACAAGACAGAGAAGAAGTCAGGGAAAAGATCAAGATGATGTCGATCAACCGATGTTTCCCGTTTGTTGTTGTTCTTACGTTTCCCCTGATGGTCGTACAGCATCGAGCCGACGATAACACCGCCCCTTTTCTCTCGACGGCAGAGGAAAAAAAAACTTGCTAGATTTAATATGGACTTCTTCGCACGTACAACCGTTGACAAATTGCGATGACAATATGCGCCCAATGAAGCGCTATTTATGGCTTACGTAGCCATTACAATTAACACAGCCACGATCCATCTCATCATCTACCAAAGAAAATGCAACCTACTGAGACTATGCGAGCTGACTACGTAATAGGTTGTGGATAAAGGTTTCGTTCGAAAATATGTAACATTCGATTAAAAAAAAGAAGTTAAAATTATCTATTAGCGCGGTTTTTCTCCACTGTTAACGCGTCCTCCGAGTGCATATTAGGTCGTCTGAACGTATACATTGTGTCATTAGTCTTATTAAAAATATTTTCGTTTGAAATTAATTTAGTCTATTTTTACAAAAATTATTTCTCGTTATATAAAAAAAAATTTTATAACCGTTTTTGTTAGGCAAACAAGTATTTTCAATTAAACTGAAAACTCGTATTAATAATCGATGGAATTAAAACTATTTTCTTTATAAATAGCTACCACTTCGCTATTCTTTTTTTTCAATTTCTTTTCTTTTTTTATATAAATAAAAGCTTGTAAAGCTTAAAAAGTAACAAGAGTTATATTTTTGTATCTATTGCATTAAAAAAACTTTTATTTTCTTTGCGCGGAGATCTTTTGTTTATCATTAATTAAAGTGAAAAAGAGGATTATTATTATATATATATATATATTTTTTTGTTTCTTTTTTTTTAATTTTTCTTTACTATAATCAATCGTTCAACTTCACTAGAGATCATTTTCCCAGATTTCATATTCGAAGAAATTCGACAGAAAATCTGAGTGTAATTTTTAATTGGGGCATGACATCTGTTGTGACATTCTAATTTAAAAAAATTAGAAAACTTTCTTTGGCCTACATTAAAACATATTAAAATTTTTAATGAAGTTTTATGTTAAACTTTTTAACAGATCTTCGATTGTTTTTCGAATTTAATGTTAAAAGAATTTAAACAATCTCCAATACACTATTAAATTTTTACGACACATCTTTTCGAGAATATCACTTAAGAATGAGTTTATTTTACATGGCTTGTAAAGTTCGACTTGTTAAAAAAAAATTAAATTTTTAACATAATCCATCTTAGTAATTCTATATTTGACAATTACAAAATAATCTGTTTAAGTTCCTTAAAATTCAAGATTCTTGCACCCTTAACTTGGCAACGTTCTTTAATGAGTATGCTAAAACGTTCTATTCTTTACTCCATACACTTCCGTGTCTGTTTATCATTATTAAATTTAAAAAAAAAAAAAAATTTGAAGGGAAATTTGTTTTACTGGAAGATCCCTAACTTATTGAAATCTTTCTTAATATAAATGATAATATTAAGGTAATAGAACAAAAATTACCGCAGAGTTTAATTCTTTTATAAAAGCGTCTCACTCTCTCTCTTTTTTAAACTGATATTTTCCAATGTAATAAACTAAATAGTATTTCTGCGCTTCTGATCACGTACGTAACCCCGGGTGCTTACATAATAAGTGCGGTTTTAATATATGCATACATATTGATTCTAAAGATTTCCAAATGGGACTATAACCAGCCAGAGGCAGATCTTTCATTTTCTCTTGGGATCGCCAACTTCAATATTTCCACTCAAGAATAGGTGAAGACGTAAATATGTTTCTAAAATACGACTTTTAATGATGATTAGATTGATTAAACTTTAATCGATTAATTGTTTTCGGGTGTTTTCTCGATTTTAGTACGATTTAAACTTTGACAGAATCCAGATTCCTTGTTCTGCATTTTTAGTAAGAAGAAAAGAAATACAGAGATAGATTTTAATTGAACCTGTTTTTATCACTTGGTCAACAGAAAGCAACAAGTTACCATTTTCTTCAACCAAGTTTGTTAACCAGACCCGAGGCGTTGGAGGAGTTGGGTCTAGGAACGATAAATATTTACCATCCCGCGTATTTTTCACATCTAACGTTTTTCCTGATTTTCTTTCTTTCATTGCCATAGGGTAAAGGGTTTAACGATAAAACTTAGCAACTTTCCACTCGATTCGAGTAAAAAGAATTCGAAAGTGAACTGCGACAAATTTTTCTATTCTGAAAGCCAACTAAATCCAAAATTATCAAGAAGAGACAATTACGCAAAGCTTCCGTTCTAAGAAAATTACAGGTGGCCATTTTTCTAATGTTAGTAGTTTTTTCCCCTCTAGTCGACTGGAAAACAAGTAAAACCAATAAAAACCACATGTACTACTTTAACAAAACAAATACACTAAATAAATAAAATATATATTAAAAAGCGAATTGCTTATACAAGTTTCATTTATAATTAAGAAATTCTTTTTTTAATCTTTGAGTTCAAAAAGCTCTTAGTACCATCAGTGTTTACATCAGAATTTAAACTACACAACAGACAACTGTTCATAAGTATTATAAATTTAAGTTATAAGAAACTTATTAAAGATTAAATCGCGAGGAAAACCATATATTTTCAGATAGACCGACATTCTATATTAATAAATGGATTGCATCTTTATATAATATTTATTTCTCTAATAAATAATAAAAATATAGTATATTAAATATAGTTATTTTTATATCAGGTAATTTTCGGGTGAAAATATTAGGGCTAAATTAAATTGAATGATTAACTTGGTTCGGATTTTATTGAACAGCATTTCGTTCTCGGAGTATTAGAAGTGAAGTGTCATCTCCAGGGGTCAACGTGAAAAGAGGATTCGAAGGCCATTTAATTCTCCAACAAATATACGTTTTTCTGCGATGATTTTTCATAAGGAATCTTTGCCAGCAATGAATTTCAAATTTGTAAAGTAGTATCAAATCAATAAATTTCCAAGCCATTATTTAATTAACGAGATAGGTTAATTACCCATAGTAATTAAAACGGAAATAATTTATATTCGAATTATACCGGGTCAGTTATATATAAAGCTCGGAATGACAACATTTTCAGTGGTAAAAAATTGATTCGTAGTAGGACGGGAAGACAAAAAACATTGACAAATTGGCATTGACACCTCACTATCCGATCTGAAATCGTTGACAACCCTCGATCAAAGAGTGGAAGCAAGAAACCTTTCCATCTAGATACGCTGCAGAAAGATTCCATTTTTTTCTTTCATCGAATTTCCTCACTGTTCACCCCATCTCTGTCACTGGGCGGTCCTATCAAAGGATATTCGACGAGTTCATTGCCGACTCTTTTGCCTTCTGGCCTGCCGATGGCAAAATTTAATATTTTGATCAATACACTGTGGAATACGAGGGGGGAGTGAGAGAGAGACGGAGCGAGTCATTTGAATACATTATAATGACTCGTCCCCTGTACATGACGTATTGATCAAGATTAGAACTATGCAAGAGTCCCGACGAATGATAAACCACACAATACAGCCATTGCTGTAATGACATTGTCTCCGTCATCTTACGGGAGGGAAATGGTAAGTTGACTTGTCGTGCCTTATTGTTAGCACATAAACACACAAAAGCATCCTCCCTATAACAAATATTTATGTCCGACGGCTGCCGAGACACCGGAGCATTCACACAACCCAAGTCCGGCGGTAATGCCCTTGTGCAAATACACCAAAATTACTAACATCGGAAAAATCAATACTTTTTAATATGCATACCATGCTCAAAGAAACACAAAGCTTCACAAATCAATACCTCTGCGCACAACCATGCCGGCATCTGCTGTACAACCCGTCCTCTATATTTCCGATTTGCATGGACGGGGGGAAGGGGTAGCGAAATGGAGTTAGGAAAGGAGAACCGACCGAAGACATTCGGATGCCGACACTTACGTCCTAAGCTGACAGTGGAAAAAAAAGCCACCCGGCTATTTACAACGCGGAGCGTGGGCACACCAGACATATAAATATACCGGCACGTACCGTTTTACAAAAAGTGTGGCGAAGAAAGAAGCTAGAGAAAGATACGTTTCGAAACGGGCGACGTTTCGAATTTGCGGCATAGTTGGTACTCTTTCCAAAACTGTCAAGTAGCTCGGAGTATCGGGCAAACGAATCCGAAACGGGATCATCTCTACGAAAACAGAAAGCTATTGACTGAAAACTGCCGAGCGTGTGAATGTTACAACGCAATCCCATTTCAAAATTGACCAACAGCGTCAATACCCGCCGGTAGATACAGTATATTCCCAGCACATTACCGAACGTCAACATTGACGGAAGAACTTTTCAAGTCATTAAACTCTGTTTAAAATTTCTGAATATTCATGCCGCTACCCATTAAAGGCGCTTACGCCCGTTCGAACACTTAATAAACTTAAACGTTATTTGTTTTCTGCTTCTGCTAAGAAAACTTTACCTGAACCGGAGCTCGGTAGTCCGCACCACAACCATACAAGCAGCCGCCGTCCACCGCAATGGGCACGGCTGCAGCGCGCAGCCAGCTAACGGGACCGACAGACTGCGCGAGTTTCAAACTCGGAAACATGCGAACCAGCAAAAAGTTGCTCCTGGTTATCCAACTAGGATCAACACCAGAACAGATATAAATCGAAGTGACGGCTGCCGTGTGAATTGGTACGCACCATCTCCACCAGCACCCGCTGTCACCAGCAATCAAATGGACAACAAAGACGCAGCTACCCTTACTCCGAATCAGGCATCGATCACCGCTGATAACCTATCGGTATCAATATAACATACCCGTTCTAATTTTAATTACCGACACTGCAACGACTTGTTACGATTCTCCGTCCAACCGGATGGACCTTGTAAGCCCATACGCTCGCCCACGCCGCTTCTAATCCTTACCTGAAGGCTGGGGAGGTCGAAGTTTTTCCAATGCTGTGCCAAAGACTGTACATTCGCAGCCATCTTTGCTCAAGACGAATGACAACTAATTGTCCACGTGACCAGACAGACCCCGATACTCTCCACGCAGCTTAATTCGCTTCTTTAGTTAAAAAGTATCTGTGTTTGACCAAAAAAGAACCATATTATCTATTCTTGTTCGACAAGCGTGTCTTATGATTTATTATCTTTCATTTTATAACGTGTTTTTATTATTGAAGTTGGAAATTTCATCCTGGGCCGCGAGTATTTTCATGTCAAAGATGGCGACCATGGTTGATTTGGATAACAGTCGAATTTTGCAAGAATTAAAGAAGAATGGTGATAAATATAAGAATATTAACGAGTCCATAAGCATTTTAGCCGTCAACGACTCCGATATATTCGTTTGGAATGCAGAAAGTCAATGTTTGCTGACTGAAAAGCTCAAAAATGGAGACGATGCTCCTTTAATGCAGGTTGGTTTCGTTTTCGTTTGAATGATTGAATTTTTTTCATGCTTAAATTGCTTTACATACAAAATATAAATCAGATTTTACTTAAGTCTTAATCTGCAAACGATAAATAAAATAAAAATCCATATAAATTATCAGAAGTCTTAACAGGTTAGCAGTTTGAAGTTTGGATTGATTTTAATATTCGAATTGTTTTTCAAATCAGTAAAAGATATTTCAATGCAATTTCGTAATGTTTATCGTATATTATGCTATTGCTTTACAGTACAGTAATATAATTTACATAAAATATCTTCAGTTTGCAAAGATCAAGATTTTTTTGTCGTAAATAAATCAGTTAATGGATAGTAGTTTCTGAATTGTCCACAAAGATTTATTTTTTGAAACAATTTATTTACGTTACTATGTCAAAATATAATTTTACTCATAGGTTTTAAGTAATTTGTTTACGCACATTTTTTAAAATAAAATACTGTATTACAAATTATAATAATTGCTGGGTATTGTTATCAATGAGGTATAGATTTTAGTAAAATGTTTTTTAACTTTATTTGTTTAAAAGTTGATGATATATTTGATTTATTTTCAGGAATGTTAAAAAAAAATTGAAATTTGAGACAATGTTTTTCAGTAAAATATCAAATTTTCTATGAAAATAAGAATAATGTGATAAAAAAAAATTTTTTCTACTGATTAGTAAAATTATTTATTAATACAGTAGAACCTCGATTATCCGGATTAATTGGGGATGAAGGTAGTCCAGAAAAAGAAAAATTTGGATAATCGAAACAAATACTTTGTCTTTTAATGATAATACAACACGTTTTCTTTTCGATGACATATTGGTAATATTAAAAGTAAATACTGTATTTAAATCGTGATCAAATTTTCAAGAAACAAATGTTCGTATTGAATTTGGACTACTACTAACCGACGCTAACAGACTACCTATTGTTTAAAAGGTCCTCTGGTGGCGCAAGAAGACGGATTTTATAAAATAAAAAGCAGTTGAAACTGCATTTTTATGAATAAAAATTTGACAAACTATTTATCATTTTATGACGAGTAAAATTTTTTCGTCACATTTGCGGCTTTTAAGTAATGCATAAACCTTCGAGGCGCGAGGCCCTTCGGACACAGGCGGTGGCCCATGTTGCCCATGCCTTACGCCGCCCTTGGTCATAGAAATGATGTAATTTGAAAATAAAATTATTTATAAATATGTATGTCAAGTTATATTTTTATTATGACGCAAAATATATTTAAGAGTTTACAGCCACTGTGCACAGTTTATCAAATTTAATTTCCAAATGCAATTTAAAAATAAAAACAAATACAATTAATATGTTTTTATTAGTTATTTTTCATCAGTGGATCAGCACTGACAGTGGTCTGCATTTTGATGGTTGATGATTACAATTACAGATCTAAATAAACACTAGATATAAAAACCAATATGCAGCAAGAAAATGCAAAACTATGTAAATTTTTATATAGTTTTGTAGTTTTTTGCTGGATGTTTATTTTGTGTGTAGTGTTTATTTACATATACCCAGTTTGAGTAGTTGAATTTACTGATCTAAAAAATTGTTAGAGTATTCATTTTATTTTAATTTATAATATAAATATATTAAGTGAATAAGTAATAATTAACATTTGAATTAAAACAAAATATGTTACTAGAAATATAAAATTAAATTTCTTTTAATTAAATATTTATATTTTTGTTTCAATTCCTGTTATTATTTATAATTACTTTTTAAAATAAATGATGCTAATAAATTGATATTATAAAAGAAAATTTAAGTATTAAAAAAGTTATACATTATAATCATAGATCTGTTGTGATTTTAATAATTCATATTATCTTGACATATTGCCAAAATTTATTTTAATATCAAATAAGTAAATGTCTTTAAATATATCTTTTTAATTGCTAATAATATATATAATAATAAGTTTACAAATTTTAATATTCATTTGTCTGAATTAATTAATATTACTCAGTATTACCATATAAAAATGAAAACTTTATGAATCACATAACAAAAGAATAAATAAAATAGGCTATATGAATTATAAGTAGTTTTGTGCCAGATCGTTAAAAATGTATATCTGCGGATACGGATACAGATACGGATCATTAGTGTCTAGATCCATGGATACGGATACAGATATCAACTTTCGTGCTCAGTCGGTGCCGGTGCTTGTGACCTTGGACCGATAGTTGACATTTTGCATTAGTAATGCGACGTGTTTTGACTTGCATTGCGCGTGTTTATAGTTTAGTGTGACACAGGATAGCATAGATTATGTTTGTATCTTTGGAGAGTGTTGAGTTAAATTAAAATAAAAACAATGTCGACAAAAACGTTTAGTAGTATAATATGGAAATATTTTACGATAGTAAATGAATTTTGCATGATAAAACTTTTGCAATATGAATGTTCCAAATATATGATTCTAAGAAATAAAAATTGATTTGAATTGAAGTTATTAGTATTTTATTGCTATCTATCTTTAAAATTTCCTATAAGTAATGAAATTCATTAATTAATTAAGATAAAAGATCTGTTAAAGATCTGTTAAAAAGTAACAAATACGGTTACAAATACGGATCTTTTTTTTCCCTCAGATATCCATGGATACAGATACGGATATCTGGCACATCACTAATTATAAGTTAACTATGTAAATCTTTATTTAATATTAATGAAAAAACTTAATAGAATAATTAAAAATAGAGTCAAAGATAATACCAATATTTTATTCCATAGAAAATTAACTGTATTATCTTTTGAAATTGCATAAAGTATATAAAATATAACAAATTAGCATGATGACAGAAGATAAAACATTACCAATTTGATTATTTTTAAATACTAAGATGAAATTATCAAATTCTTATCCTGTTCAACCCATTTAACGTTAAACAAAATATAATCAATACATTATTTCAAATTTAAAACTATATTAAACATGCACATATGAAATTCTTAAATTATAAACTTATAATAAATGATGTATTATGTTATGCTACATATTTTCAGTTTAAATCATTATTTTATCTTGATGATAAAGAATAAGTGGTCTTATTATTAACATAAAATTCATTTTGAATAATATTAATATGTAAAAGTTTTTTAGCAAAATTATGATATAATATTAATAATAGTTACTAATAACATTTTACTGAAAAATAAATAATAATTTAAATAACTTTTTAAATGTAAATTCAATGTTTACTATAAAAATCTGTTTAACAATAAAAATACATAATTTATCTGTCAGAAAATGAAAAAATAAAATTACAGTATTGTTTGAACAAAATGCCAAAAAATTTTTATTATAATTTTTGAAATAAAATAAAGAAAAATAAAATTTAATTAGTTAATACGTAAAATATTCAGATAACAAAATATATACAAAATACTAGTCTATCTAATAAAGTAATCTTTTAATTCCATGTTATTTGAATATTTAAGATTATTACTTTCTAATTAACTATATATAAATGGACTGAGAATGGCATAAAGTATGCTGAAAACATTAGCATTTAAGTATTTCAATAATTTATAGAATTGTATATATAGTTAATTAAATAATTATAATCTTAAATATTTACCTAACTCTAAACTTATACTTAACATAAGAATTAAGTCAATTCAACAATTAATAAATTTCAATATTTATATTCACTTCATTTGAATAATTTATTGTTTTAATATAATATTTTACATTAATAATGAACATTAATTCTGTTTTACACTTTAATAATAAAAATGATATGTATTATTTTGTATGAATTATTTAATTTCATAATTTAATTGAAAATTTTCAAAACAATCTCATCAATACATAATAAAATAAATATATNATCCCAAAAGCAGTGTTACTAAAGAATATTGGAGAATGAGAACGTGGACCGCCTTAACCGTCAAAGTAATTCTGCTTAGTGGCGAGTCTCCGAGACATAGTCTTGTCCCAAACACCGTTTTGCCGTTTCACTTGTTTTATTTATTATTTGACAACTACGTGTTTTATGTGAAGTAAAGCGCATGTAAAAAATCAATATCACCACACTTTTAAAGCATAGAAAATAAATTACGAAAAGGGTTTTTTGGCTTGTTTTAAATAACTATATTGTCTCATAAAATTATTGTTAGGATATGTTATTCTTTATACATAAACTGTATTTAATTTTTTTAGAGAAGAAAGTGTAACATTTTCTTCTTATGTTTGCTTTGTTTACTCAACACTAATCAGAACTGTCTGCAATTACTCAAAAAACTCTTATTTATATTTAAATTAAATATTTTCGCTTTTTTTAAATTTTCTAGAGGATTTTTATGTAAAAAGATAATGCTCTATACGAAGTAATTTCGAAAATATATTTTATATATATAGCTCATTGTCTAAAGAGTTCCTGTAAACACATTTTGCTTGGAATTTTTAACTT